ATGGCTTTTTCTCATAATTATTAAATTACTATCATATGTATTACTACAGTGTGGGCCATATTACATATCACTGTTTTTGTTCTGCTATGGTTGTTGAGCTTAAAGAAAGTCTAAGGCCTGAAGCACCATCCGAACAAAAGAAAATTAGATTTTAAGACCAACTGTGCAAACAAGAAATGAAGCCAATGTGAAGTTAACGGGCCACACTTAATCCTCATGTTAAAATGTTCAACATTATAACAGATTCTTTTTGATGACATGGTTGATTGTGCCAGACAGGCTGGTCTGAGTATTTCAGAAACTTCTGCTCTACTGGGATTTTCCCACACAACCATCTCTAGGGTTTAAAGAGGATGGTCTGATAAACGAAAATATCCAGTGATGAAAATGCCTTGCTGATGCCACAGATCGGAGGAGAACAGCTAGACTGCTTTTAGCTGATAGGTCAGCAACAGTTACGCTAAAGTAGCTACTTGTTACAAGCAAGGTAGAAGAGCATCTCTGAATGCCAAACACATTGAATCTTGAAGCAAAAGGGCTACAGTAGCAGAAGAGCACCTAGAACATCACACCAATTGCGACTCCTGTCGCCTAAGAACAAGAAACAGAGGCTACAATTTGCACAAGCCCATCAAAATCGGACAATATAAGACTGTAAACAGCTTTGTGTAAACAACATCAAATCTCTCTTATCTCTACTCTACCTCCTGAACCACAGTCACCCCCTAGTGGTGATGGCGTAAGGGAGTGGGGGATATTTTATTGGCACGTTGGTTCTCTTAAGACATAGGTGTCAAACTCTGGCCCGCGAAGCCATACCAAATTACTATTAGAGATGGCCTACTGGTATTATACAGCTAATATATATATTGTTTAGTATTAAGCTTTGCTTGTTCCATATTCAGTTTTCCAGAAAAACTTATTTGAGTCCATAAGAAAAGATTCATTCTTATATCTGGAGGAAGATTTTTTTTCAATAAATATTAATGTTAGTCCGCGACTTTGTTCCAGTTTTGAATTTTGGCCCACTGTGTATTTGAGTTTGACACCCCTGCCTTAATACCATCTGAGCATTGTTTAAACACCACAGCCCACTTGAGTATTATTGCTGACCATGTCCATTCCTTTATGACCACAGTGCAGCCATTATCCAATGGTTGCTTCCTGCACCATGTCACAAAGCTCAAATCATCTCAAACTGGTTTCTTGAAGACTTCCATTAATTCATTGTTCTCCTGTGTCACCTAATCTCAATGCCACTCGGCCCATTTCACCACCTCCATCTTTTGAGGTGGTGGAACGGGATATGCTGCTGATGAATCTGCAGCAAGTGTGTGATGCTATCACGGTCGATATGGACCAACATCTCTGAGGATTGTCTCCAGCATCTTGCTCAATCTCTCCCATGAAGAGCTAAGTTATGCAGTTACTAAAATAAAAGGGGTTCCAACCCAGTATTAGCAAAGTTTACCTAATAAAGTGTCCAATGAGTGTACATACACAGGCTATATGTGCAACACTTCTTTCCTGCTTTCAGACTTGAACTAACAAATAAACAGAAAGATGATATCCCACATTCAATATTCAGCACATATTCACCCTCGAGGCTCATTGCAGCTATTATATTAAGTATGAACATCCTACTAGCACTCCACATTTAATTATAAGAACATGTAAACACAAGTCTATCAGCCTCTATCGGCCTACACTGAATTTGTCAGGAAATTAAATTATTTCATAATTCAGAAAAGGCACAAAACCAAACTCCTCTACACTTTGCAATTAATTACAGTGTTGATGAGTCCAGTTTTGTCCAAATTATGTGTTGCATGTGTTACCTGCTTTTGTTCTCTTCTAATATCTCCTGAATGAGCAAAGTAGGACAGGGGATAAGCAGTGGAGATACGAGCCAAAATAGCAACTTGGGCAACAATGTACAGAGGAACAGTTATCTTAACTTCAAGACCTGCTGCAAACTGAATACGGTTGTGTATCTATATACGTCTTGTTTGACTTTCAGGAATGCAATTTTGTGTTGCTGTACTGATAACCAGGTGTAATTATTTTCCTTTCTTTTTCTCTGGACCATGAGATTGCCATTTAGAATGAAAAAAAAAACTGGAAGAAATCAACCGCGAACTGACGTAACGGTGCATTTTCAGCCGTACAAGTCAGAAAAAGAAAGGGGAGGGAGAGAAGAAAAGAGGAAAGGGGAGGGCAAATCCATGTCATGCAATTAAGACCAGATTAGTAGTGACATTATACACAAAACCTACACACATTTGTCACTCTCATAAGTCACAGCTCATCAGCTTGCAAAAGGTTGACGTTTTTCTTACTGAGAAAAAGAATATTTTCCACAAAGACAAATTTCATTCATTACAACGGTGAGGTGTCAACTTCTATAACATTTTTCTAAAGAATCAGCTACTCCGCTCCTCCCTCAGGAGTGTAGCTAGTTTGCGTCTAAAAGAATGATCATTTTGTCTTCTTTGCTTTGTCAAATGCACAAGGAAGACAAAAGCAAGGTGACTAATAGCTAGATAGAGTTGCTAAAGGGAGAAGAAAAGAAAACTCTATGGCTTTGCTCTCTGTTTGGCCATCTTCATCGTTTTTTTATTCCCAAATTTTGTTGATTGTGAATCTGTTAGTAAATTAGCAAAGACTCTGTGCTAAAACAAAATGACATTTTAGTGCAAGGACTACTTTAAGTGCTCCAAAGAAAATGGAGATTTGAGAGATTAAGAAAGTCCATGTGCTTGAATCAACTGCAGGTTTGTGAAGAACGGCCAAAACAACTAAAAAAAAAACAGTCTTTGAACTTGTGGAACATTTTCTTAGATTGAGATTACACTCCACATCAAAAAGTTTTATTGTGATCCTTACGCTGAACCCCACTCATTTGCCCTCTGCTGGCAAATAAAGCAGAGACGGCTATTTTTTAAACTTGGCACTTTTAAATGATAGTAACTGCTGTTCCTGTGAATGAGCAGTCGCTGGACCTACATGGCACATAAACTACCCAATGAACATCAGTGAAATGCTCTTCTGGACCAATGAGCATCCGCGAAGCAGGCGATCGGGCCAATGCTCATGCATGGGCATTAACGATACAGAGATGGAGATGGAGCACATCATCACACACACATTTGTGCTCTTATATATCTGCTGCTAGCTTGTTATTACAAACATGGCCTGTCACTTCCAATGATACACGCTAACATGACAGATCACAGCGTGTTTGTGTGTGTGTGTATGTGCGTGTGTAAGTGAGTGCGTTACATAGTCAAGTCACATAGCATCTATCTCTGTAACACGATCAGAGACTGAAGCAAAGAATCACTTTTTCATACAGTATTGCGTACTGCTTCTAGTGATCACACACACATGCATGCACACACACACACACACACACACACACACACACACACACACACACACATACACACAGTGGTAATTTGTTTGTTTCCCATGTTTGGAGGCATTTGGTTCTGCTCTGCTGTCCCTAATGCCTCCAAAACACATCATTATCTGACTTATATAGACCTGGGAGTCTGTCTGAGTGTTAATGCGTGTGCGTGTGTGTGTGTTTGGTGTATGCATGTGTGCGATGAGGAAAAAAAAAAACCACATTGATTATTGAGTTCAACAGGCGAAACACTGTTTACCCCAAGAGACACAAAGCAAGCGAAAGAGATAGAGAGAGAGAGAAGTGAGAGAGAAAAGAGCTTGGGGGAAGTAGAAGGAGATGATTTAGGAACAGGGAGGTGAAAAATGCGAGTCCTGGAGAGACGGAGAGAGAGTTAGAGGAGCACACCAATGAAAAGAAGCAGGGATGGAGGGATGGTTAGAGGGAGGGATAGAGGTTCAGACAAAGAAGTGAGATGACAAGCCAGGCCTGCCGGGTGCAAAGTAATGAAATTCAGTGGTATATTCCTCTAAGCCATGACACACAGACAAACATCACAGTCGGTCTGTTGTTGTAGTAGAGCAAAAACTCGACTTCTGAAACATGGACTGCAGCTATTTGCCAGCTGGAGTGATAAAGTCTAATCGTGGATACAGAAAGCCACGGCGCAATTTCAAACAGTCGGCATTAGCAGAAGCTGATCCAGAGAAGCAGGGCTACGAGGGAGGTGAACATCCCAGCAGGACACATTCTCACCAGACTTCCACCCAGGGGATACATTTTGAGATCATAAATTGGATCTGTTTATATAGTGAAGGCTATCCTAATGATGCATCACGTTAGAACTTATATATTTGCCCGCCAGTGCTATCACTACACAGTAATATAGTTAGAAATACCCATGTCGTGAAGCAAATAGTCCGCTGAAGTAACCCAAAACATTAGCTTATAGCTTATTGCTGCTGAAGTGTAAGATTAAAGATCGGATTAAAACAATGCACAACTGAGCTACTACTGTGACCTTGAGAGCATTTGGATGTGTCTACTTTAATGTTGGTGCTAATGTAGTTTCTCAGTTATCTCAAGTAAAATAGGCACACAAAAAAATCAGCAATCAGTGTTGACTGCTGGTTATTCAAAGGACACCGAATATATTCACTGACAAATCCATGTTATTTTTGGGGTCGTCTACAGTAGCTTTGCATTATTTATCTTAAACTGGGCCTTAGCGCAGCCCCTCAGTTCTTCATGTTTCTGAAACAAGTTGTCTCAACTCCTTTCCTTCTCTCCTTTAAGCCAACTTTCTTTTGATAAGCTGCACGCTGCAAACAAAAGACTCAAACAGGAGGTTGTGGGGCTTCTGTTCTCAATGCAGGAGCAGTGTAATTGAGATTATTAGGGATTATTAGGAGCATAATAGACAGGCAAAAGCAGAAAAAATGGCCTCTTGTCTCGCACGGGTTCCTTGTACATACACTGACCTCATTTTTGGAAACACTGGCCATGTTTAATATGAAGAAAACAAGGAAAATCGTAATAGGTGTCATTTAAGCCATTTGTAAAAGTCTCAGAGTGTGTGCTTGCAGCTGACCTTGTTTCCTAAGTATAGTCCAGGTGCATTCCAATAGTAGGCGGTGCCAAGATCGTCCACAACATCTAAGTGTCGCACGCTGAGATATGGAGGGGTCTCTCTGTGAACGGACCACACCCTCCCTCCCGTGTTGCCAACCAGGTGCCAGCCTGTCAGAGTGGTCTCCTATGAACACAACATCCAGGTTAAAAAAAGTTATTTTACTTTCAGCTCCATCTATTTAAAAAAAAAACCAACTTTTTTACTCTGATCATGCTGGCATGCCCAGACCGCAGTTCCCCATGTCACATTTCAAAGTACACAAAGAATATTTCTGTGTAGGGGTTGTTAAAAAATTCAACACCCAAATTGTGAGGCACGATCTGTGTGAAGAGACTGTGGCAGGATTGCACCTTTCCGCTCTCTTCTGCAATCGCGGAAGTACACATCATAACAAGACGTCAGCTTTCAACTTCAAGTTTTTGTTGGGGTTTTCTGTTTTCAGCAGGTTTTCTGTTGCTCACTTAAACTGCGTGAGTCATGTAGAGATGTAAGATGTTTATATATAATCATCAGGAAAAGAATTTATATAAATATGTAAAGGGAGAGTCTAAAACAGAAAAGCAACATACAGTATTATTTCTGTCCACGCGACAGAGTTGCTTACTGTCAGCACATCAGTAACATTGACAGCAAACATATTAAAGCAAGGCATGTTCAGTGTAGACGGACAGGTTTTACTTATAATGCCCAGCTGGTGGTTCGGATTTGCTACTTCACACAACTGTCAACACTCTGACTCTCTTAATAGATTTGTTCGTCCACCACCTGAGCTCCTTCTTTTCTATTACCAAAGTTGCAATGTATTTTTTTTGTGTACCTATTGTGTCCAGGTAGTCTACTGCCAAACGTCACCTTTGTTTTATTGACTTCTCGTTCCTGCCCTAGAATCCTCTGTCTCAGCAACCCTCTCATGTCCTTCTTCACTGCACTCATGGACCTTCTCCTGTTTTCCTCCTGCCTGGCAGCTCCATATTCAACATCCTTTGTCCAGTATACCCACTATCCCTCTTCTGCACATGTCCACATCATCTGAGCTTGGTCTGCCTCCATCATACCCTTATCTTCTGTATTGTGGTCATTCCCAACCAAACTCTGAGCATCTTCAACTCTGCCTCCTCCAGCTCCACCTGGTGTCTTTTCTGTTAATGCCACTGTCTTCAAACCACAAATCACAGCAGGTCTCACCACCACCTTGTAATCCCTCATTTACATTCACCCACTCCACCCTACCTGCACTCTCTTTTTCACCTTTATTGTACACTGTATGTTGCTTTGGATGCTTCACCCCAGGTATCTCAACTCGTCCATCTTCACTGTTACACCTGTCTGCCTCTCATTCACACACATGTATTCTCCTTTGCTTCTACTGACTTCCAATCCTCTTCTCTCCAGCACACACCTCCACTCCACTCCTACTCCTCTACACTCCTCTTGTCCATACTCTCAGTACATCACAGTGTCATCTATGAACATCATAGCTCATGGTGACTCCTGCCTGACTTCATCTGTCAACTTGTCCATACCACTGCCTCCAAAACCCCAAAACCTTTTTATAAAAAGCCTTCAAGCAAAATAAAGGTGGTTTATATAGATGAACTCATGAGCAGGAAAATTATTACCTCTAACGATACTTTATTATAAGAGGTAATTAAAAATGAAAAGCAAAATTCAAGTTAAAGTCACCATATTACTTCAGGTTAATTTAAAAAACCATAGAAAATGTCTATCATGTGATTTTTTTTTAATGTAATTTATTGTAAATGTAATTAGTTGATTGAGATAAAAGATTTTTTTTAACAAAAATGTCAAAGTTAAGCTTTTGGCAACAGCTTTGTAAATCTGCCACATGTCAGCTGGAAGTTTGCAATCGACACCTTGAAAGAGATTTTTTTTCTTAAGGATTTTGTGTGTGTTGATGTGTGTCTGCACGTGTGTGTGTTTGTGAATCAGAGATTGCTAAACACACATCTGTCATTGTAATTAACCTAACCTTGGCTTCCCCTTTTGAAAACACACACACACACACACGATCGGTGTCTAAATCAGAGCTGTCATCCTGTCAGCGTCTCCTCTTTCCTCCTCTCCCACCCTCCCTGTCAGTCAAAAACTGTTTTCCTCTTGCTTCACCTCTCTCCTCCCTCTTGCCTCTTGTCTTGTTTCTCCCTTCTCCTTTCTAGTCCTGTCCTCTTCCTTCCTCCATATTTTTCTTTCTCTTCATGTCTCTCACCTCTCTGTTCCCTCCAGACTCTCTATGCAGTTTTGTTTTTCTGCTTAACATCCTACTGATTAATTTCCAGATGTTTTTAATGTTTGCCAGATCCAAATTACTTTACACCTGGTGTCAGATATGTTCAGGCCCTGAAAGATATTTATTAAACTGATGCAGCAGTGTGGATGAGTAGTTTTCGTGTCATCTAAAAAAAAAAAGTGCTTTGAGCGATAGCTTAAGTGATTGTTTTGTTTGTTAGGAAAATGTGTATTATGGACCTAGATTAAAAACTCACAATATGAAAAATTTCACTTTAAAATATACTGAAGGCCTGATCAAACCAATTAATTTGATTAAACAAAGGGGTAAACAGTAGTTGGCAAACTACTAACTCAATCACAAAAACTTGTGTCAAACTCAGTGTCAGTGCCCAAGCTTGTTAGCGTTGAACCTAATTGAACATTATGACAAGGTTATTTTAGGTGACTGAAACTAAATGAAAAACTAAAACTACCCATCCATCTATCTTCTTCTGCTTATCCAATTCAGGGTTGTCGGGGTGCTGGAGCCTATCCCAGCCGAGTTACACTTCAGTTTAATTCTTTTCGCAAAATTTGTTATCACAGCTTGGCCGATGAGGCCTTTTTGCATATATTTATTGTGACTTCACATGTCTACTTTGAGTCAGTTGCTTTCAAGTGGTTTGTTCTTCGCTTTTATTTTTTATACCTATGTACCCTTACCGATGTTATTTCCAGCATATACCCTCAATGCCCTCAAGTTAACTATAAAACAAGTAAAAATGAAACTAAAAGCAAACATTTTCAAAAACTAAACTAAACTGAAATGAGCAAACCCACACATTATAGAAAACTATAATAACTCTGATGTATGAGACCTGTTGTTCATGTAGTATTTCCCTCGTGTTTAAAAATCAGATTTACGTCTCTTTTGCTGAGCAATTTGTTCTCAAGTAAAGCACGCTGTTAGAAAAAGGAGACACAGGCCAATGTCAGTAAAACCTCATGACACATGCTTCTGTTTTGGACTCTCTGATTCACTGAACATCAGTGCTGTTTAAAATTCTGCATGTCAAAAGTCACCAAAGTTGGATTAGATGCAAAAGATGAACACAAACTGAAAGTTGACTCCACTCTGAAACTTGTCATGGAAGGGAACACATACTATAAAATTAGTCAGAACAACTTGCGTCACAAATTTGTTTCTCAGCTGATGTTCATCCTTCTGTGGTGCACAGTTATGACGCAATTTAAGTTTACAGCAGTAAATGATATTTGAATAAAAGGAGGAAAAAACTGTTTTTCAGCTCTAAGCCACTCTTGCAGAAAAGATTTTAAACTGAAGTGGTGTTTACATCATCCCACAACATCAGTGAATAATGAGTTCCTACATTCTGATAGGTCCACGTGGAGGCAGCGCACTGACTGGAAACGCCCATGCAGGAGCATTTTTCGCAGCCGCGTCTGTTGGACTCTTGAAGATTGTAGAAACCGAGCTTACAGCGGTCACAATTTTCCCCCTCCACATTTTCCTGCATGTGAGAAAGACAGAGAGAGGGGGAGAGACAGAAAAGGGCAGGCAGAGAAGAGAGAGGAGAAAAAGAAGAAGAAGAAGGACGCAGCATAGTTTATAGGCTGCCCTCAGGTTGACGCTACGAGTGCAAAGCATGTTCCGGCAATGTTAATGTGGTGAAAATAATGATGACAGGGCTAAAAAGGTTAGGAGAGAGTACTTGTCATTATTTCTGTGCATACAAATGCGAATGTGCGTGTTTGTGTGTACCTTGCATATGCAGGGTGTTATACATGGGTCAGTGTTGACGCTTCCTTCAACGCTGCAGTTACAGCGCTCACAGTATGGGTAGCCCATATAACCAATAGCACACCTACAGTTTTACAGCAATAATAAAGATCAAGTCAAAACAGTAAATTGATCAGATTAACAACCACTGCGTTTATCCTGGTCAAACTGTTTTCGCCTGAGCCACCGATCCCCTACTCACTGCTGCAAACCGCTAACGCTGGTAATATGTGTGCGTGCTTAAGCAGAAAAACCAAAACAAAAAACTTCTACTAATTAACAGAGAAAGTAAGCCAAAGCAAGTCTATTAAATAGCATTTAGGAAGTCATTTTAGAGACAATGCTTATGCTGCGGCCCTGCGGGTAGGTCATTAAAAGTTTAGAAGAAAAGCAGTATTTTTAAGATAAGGCTTTTACATTAGACTAGAGTGGAATACTGGGTTACCGTGGGATCAAAGATAATACAAAAAATAAAGCAATTACATCAGTAAACGCAATTACTCGCAAGCCAACTAATCAGGAGAGTAACATGAAGGACCCTGTTGACAGATCTACGGGTTGATATTGAAGCTGCTTCTTGTTTAATTCTTGTAGGAATTTAGTAATGCTAAGACTTTTCATGAAGACCTCAGGCTGTGGTTCTCTCCGTTTAAGTTCGTGAAAGGTATTATTAAGGAAGTAACATTTAGCTGCAAATAAGACAGTGCCTTGCATTTGCACCACAGCTATGCATGCAGTCACTTCTATACAACCCAAGTGTGATAATCAATATCATCAAAGATCCTAATGGAAACTTGGTGGCAATTTCTAAACACTAATTGGAACAGACAACAGCTGAAAGGTTCTGCTCACCTGTCACTATGTGTCTATCTCTTTCCCTATTTGTGTGCATGTGTGTGTATGTGTGTCTCTCACCTGTCACATCTCAGACCCCCAAAACCCTCCTTACACCAGCATGACCCTGCTGGCTGGCCTGTCAGTCAAGCACAAACACACACACACAAAGAGACACATGCACACATAAAAAAAGTATAAATGTAAGAGAAAGGGTATCTCTTTGAAGTAGCTGCACCTAAAATAACTCTACTTGCTAGATATAAAAACAGCGAAAACACAGAGGAGGACAGAGGAGTAAAATTATCTCTAATATAAATAGTTCTGTTCTGTCAAAGACATTTTCAAGTAACAGAAGCTTCTGTGCATGCTGCTGAACTCGACTCACCCCGATCCCATAGGAAATCAATGTGGACCGAATTGATGAAATCTCAGAGTTACTGAAGTACCACTTTAAAATGAATTAAAATGTGAAATGGGTGCAGGCTCTAAAAGTCTGCATGCATATCCACTGAGGGGCCAAAATTATCCCTATGTTAGGGCTTAAATGATCCTCAGAAAGAACAAGGCGGAAAGTCACGTGACCAGACAGAAAGTACAAGTCAAACTGAGTGCATACGGGGCTTAGCTTGTCTCAATTCTGCGACACACGTTTGGCTGATGGAACCGTATGGGTCGCAGGAGCAGGGGATGCAGGGGTTCTCCTCCTCAGCGCTCACCTGGACAGGTAGAGAAGGCAGACATGTTCAAATAGCAGCAATTTAGGTGATGTACGGACACACGCATAAGCAGGTTACGTACGTCAGCAGGTCTGTAGAATCCAGGAACGCAGCTCTGACAGTTAATGCCAGCTGTGTCGTCACGGCAGCCTATGCAGACTCCGCCCCCTTTGTACTGACCGTGAATGTCCAGGCTGAGCGACAGATCTGCCACTGTTTGATTAAAGTAGCATTCTTCTGCCTTACCGTGGCAGTTACACTCTGGAAACACACAGAAAAAGTTGGTGGGCTGTAGTACTGCAGTTGATAGGATTTGTCGAGTCCTGCCTCTTCTATCAAAATTCTGTACAGTATTATATGTAGCCGGGGGGGGGACACTTTCTCTAATCCTTTTACTTCATCTGCTCACAAGATGAGAAAAAAAACACCCTATCCTGGTTTTTAGACAGTGCCGTAAGGTTCACACACTGACTGTGAGCTGTGTGTTATCTCTAGGGCTCCAGAGAATTATCTCCAGAGGAAAAAAATAGCCTTACTATTCATTCATGCCCTTTCCATTTTCACTTTAGTTTGCTATATTTACTAAAGTGGTCTAAAATTCATGAGCTAGATAAAAGCATTGTCCTTTGGAATTTTGAGAAGAAACTTGGACTTAAAGTTTGTAGAAGTCTCCTACGGCCCGAACTCCAGGCCACAAAGATCTTCTTGAGTTTAGATTCCGATTTTGTAGCTGAGTTCATTTGTTTCATACATTTTCTTAATTCAGACCAGAACATGTTTTGCAAAGATAATGTTGTGATTGATGCAATATTGATCATATGTTTTCCCTACATGACTAATGGACTTTTTAACCTACACTATGGCTATGGACTCTCACCCCTACAAACTCAGTACATTTAATGTAGCACATACATTTGCAAGGCCAGACACACAAAACACTTTTAGATTTTAGGTTAAAACAACCACAGGGAAATGGCCTGATGGACATTACTTAAAGTGTATTAAATCCAGGGATTGAAGGCATCAGCTGTACAAATGGCCAGGTGTTAAGAAAACAGTACTGACCTTCACTGCTCGGCATGCCTTATTTCAGGTACGACATATTAATTACAATGCATATTGGTTGGCTTGAGAAGCAGAGCACGTTACATGATCTATCACATGCTTAAACACTACACAGTGCTTTATATGTTCCATGACATGATTATGAAAGATTTTTGTTCTCCAGAAAGTTATAATTACATCTGTCTTATATGTTTGCATGACTGGACCTTCCACCCACTGTTAATCCAGTATCGTGTTCACAGCTGTGTTTATGGGATTAAGAACAGTGGATATCTTGTCCCGCTGGTCACTGCTGACCTGTAAAGCTGCACAACACTACAGGGCATCATTCTGTGCTATCCTAGAGTGCCGAGTTCTCTTCATATACCTCATCTTAGATAAACGTTTTCTACCCCTACCATTACAACAGTTTGTTCAGTACTGGTATTAAATCTGTCATGGTCAGTTCTTTTACTATTATGCTATCCAGGACCTTTTGTCACTTTAGTTATGTCAATGTCAAGGCAACAGAAGCAGTCATTGAGCCACTAAGACTACAGAGCTTTCAGAGGGTGTAGCCTGTGTGAAATAAAATAAAGATTACATGTTGTAACCTTAGTTTTATGATGACAGGTGGAAGCCTCTAACCTCATCCCTCCACTGCTGCATAACTGATGAAGGTTAATGGATGCCAGGGTGATTTCGGATGGCTTTATACAGACTTATATCACAGACTGATTCTGATCAGCTGGAAAGAATGTGAATTTCAGGGCACAGCTTCACAGTTTAATTGTGTGGAGAGTACTGACCTCAGTGAGTGAGTACTCTAGGGTTAGCCTACTTTTTTGCAGTAGCCAGGCTTTATGTGAAAAAATTAGCTCAACTAATCTGAAAAAGAAGCACAATTTATTGAACCGAATGGCCCTAAATGACTTTGACCAGAAAAGTAAAATTAAAAATAATATTAGTCTTTAAAATAGATATATCTTAATTTTTAAAATAAATATGCAATGTTGAAAAATTAATAGCAAAATAAAATAAATAAATAAATTGTTAGCCAATACACATAACATTAAACTGCCATTAGTAAATCAAATTGCTAAACTTAATGTATAAATGGTTGTAATAGTTTGCCAAATCTGTAAGTAAAGTGTATTTAGCTAAAAATGTAGATGGAGAAATTGTTAAATAACATAATGGGTAAAATAGTTGAAATATCTAGTTACAATCTCTTAGGAAAAGATGTAGTATTCTGTTTCCTATTATATAGTGCCATAAGAACTCTGATAGAGGCTTTTTAACTCGTGAAAATCTGAGAAGTCACTGTTTATTTTTCATAAGTAGCAAATGTGTTGTGGGTGAACTGCTGTGAGCTTGTGGGTAGCTGTGTGCAATTTACAAATATAATTTGTTCTGTGTTTTTCTTACTCTCGCAGACATGTCGAGTGAGGAAGGTTCCTGCCATCCAAGGCTGCTGGTGGTAACCTGGGCAACAGCGATCACAGCTCTCCCCACAAGTGTTGTGTTCACATTCACAGCTAAACTTCTACATATGCGCAGAAACACAAATGTCCACACACAAACACATGGAAAACACACATTAACAGTGCACTTTAAAATTGATTGTGCAAACTAGAAGCAGGTTCTTAAATCTGAATCTGAATCGTGAACAAATATGATTTTTCACTGCAGCCAATTCTTCACCGCAGGTGATTCAAAACCTCTTAAGTGAAAAAATGAAATGTCAGCCCTTAGCTTGACACTACTCCCACACACAGTGTTGGGAAAGAGTGACCTTCAGTTAATTAAACTAATAACTATTATTTGTTTCTTTGTGTCCTGTCGCTGTGCCGAGTGACAGCCTGTTAGAGAAGCTCCCGTTGTTTGATATTATTATTTTAATGACTTTACAACCCAATAAGGTTGATTTTAACTTTTATTTTCCCCTACACCATTTTTGTATCCTGAAGGGAAATCAATTTTATTTATTTTTTCCTTTCTTATCAAATTTTGTTTCTTGCCACTATATTCTTAACAATTCCACTGCCCGAAGTGAGGCCTTTAATCCTGGAGGAGATTGACGAGGTTTCAGAGCTGGAATTAAGTGGAGAGTTAAATGGTGAAAATAAAAACCATCTGTTTAAGTTTTTTAGACAATGAATCGTCTAAATAGAAATTATTGTTTGAGTGTAGTATGAGGTGTTTTACTGTTTCACTGTTTTAGTGTGACCGAACCCAGCGTTGGGACTTCTTTGGGGGATATGGGGGATATGATAAGATATCAGGAACTGCACTGCTTGTGCAGGGAAATGGTGCTGGTACTGCAAAGGAACTGTTCAGTTGAATGTGGACTATTACCACTATGGATGTGTGCAACTAATCATCGCTGTTGCCAGTCGGTACCAGACTTAGTAGTTGTTTAATCCAATTGTTAAAATTTTACTTGATGCCAAATGCCAGTAAATCACTGAATCATCACTTCAGATGAGGGGAAGAAAATGGCTGGATGCTTGTTTTGTTATTTTAAATTTGAACTTTTAGTGCAGTGGTTGAACAGTGTGCGTCATTCATAACGCACGGCACAATGCGCCACACTTTTCTGTCACAATTTATACGTTTGTCAGATGTTAACTTGTCATATTTGAACATGTTTTGTAGTAACATGTTTTCACGTCATATTTAGCATCGGTTATTTATATTGGTTGTTTTATTTGTTGTTGTTGATTTGGTTATTAAAATGCATCTGTTATTAGTCTTTGACATTTTCCATTAGATGGAAATTTAACTTGATATCTTAGTGTTTCTTAGATAAATGAAAGGGTATAATATTTTTTCCTGGTTTGGTTGACTAAAAAGTTCGTCGCCAGGAAAATCCTTGAATTCCATTATCATGCACGTGGCAGTTTGTATAAGAATCACATCAAAAATTGTTTTACAGACACTGTTATAAGACATTTTACTGCATTTTCAACCACATAGCTTCCAGAACAAATCTCTTTTAAACTGTTCTGAGATAATAAACACTGTAACTATCAATTTTTCAAATAAAGTAATAACCTAGTTCAAATGCAGTCTTTATGTTCTTGCTGTGACTTTGTGGTCCTTTACATGCATAACCACATCTGCAGTAAGAATGTTTGAATGTATGAACAACACCTGAACTGAAGCAAAATAAAATGTTGAGATCAAGTTTGTATTGATTTGAATCTAAAAGTGTAGAAAGTGTACATGTATAACCCTCTGTACAATATTTATGAATATATTTTTAATATACACAGAAAAAAAATTCTCTCCTTTGCGCACCCTCGTGTGGCACCTCAACATTCACATGAATGTGAGAATAGAGTGCAAATAGGTAATTATCAAATGCATCACCTTTTGAAAGCCCTTTAAACAACAATGTGTACACATGAGAGCCAACTCAACTGAAAGAACTTGGTTCAGTTTCCAAATTTTCAGTTAGCAGTAAATAGGTTCACGATTAGTCTCCCAGGAGAGAAATAAATCCAAAACTAAACACAGACAAAGCAGAATGTAGCAGGATATTTGCCAACTAAGGTTCAGTAATTCAATTTAGGACTTTCTGTAAATTGGTTGATATGGTGAGGGTGCCAGATTTAACTGAGAGGAGAGCAGTACAATAGCACAACGAGAGCCAAGTCTGGATTTGTTGGCATGAGTAAATTTGCCCCTTTTTATCTGAGACACAATGCTACAGCTCTTGCTTAGGCTGCCTTTGTGCTGAGCAGGCATCTGAGCAAATGTTCTGCGGACGATCATCAACAAATCATCTCGCAGGTCTCCACCTTTCTGAATGTCTGCCCAGTATGCTACTGCATGGATTGTTTGAACACTAATCACAGTAAAAAAGCTAAATGTCCTGTGGGAAGACAGCGCAACAGAGAGGCTCTAAAAAACTGCAGATAAATAAAGCAGAATTATAAATAAACAGAAATTATTCGGTTGTACCGTATACTACATCTGCTCTGCAAAGTATTTTTGTTCTATTAAAACTGACTAAATGTGTAGCCTTTAAACACCTGGGCAGAAGAAAGTGGTTAGTCTCCTCTACTGAGTTTAAATACTTCCTCAAGTCTTGGTTAGAGACGGTGGGAAAAGAAGAAGAAAAAAAAAACAGGACTTTTCACACACCAGTGACATCACTTATTGTCACTGACATCACCACCGAGGGACCAGACACAGGTGTCAAATCCGAGTTAGACTTCTTGTTTCAGCCTCGGGACATGTAAAGGACACAACGCGGTGCATGTGTGTGTGGTGGGAGAAAAAGAGGGAAAGATCAGGTGTCTGGTATCAAACACTCCTCTGTTTGAAGTGACACGTGAGACGACGCTGTACAGTGTCACCTGTGTCCCCTGCAGAAAGGCGCGCACAGACTCACACGGAAAGTTTTTATAGAAGGAGTTAGATGAAAAGGTGATGCCTGAGGGCTCTCTTTACTCCTGTTCAGAACTATGGAAGAGCTACATCACCTTGATGGTATTGTTAAACAGAGTGAGAGAAAGTTGGACATTATTACCTTTGTAACACTGTTGAGTGGACAAGCTTTCGCATGGCCAAAACAGATGCACATCCCTCCAACTGAGATGTCCTTAATGGTATAGTAGTACTGAAGAGCCAAAACAGGTTATTGCAACTTTAACAACCAATGACTCAAAAGATATTCTACTTAAAAATATCCAGAGATGAATGACTCATATGACAAAGTTAAAGTGGTAGTGCATGTGTTTTTAGCCTCACCCGTCTCGTCACAATAGGATCCATATCTTTGGGGTCATGGAGTGTCAGAGTCATGAGGTCGGCGTTCAGCGTTCTGATTCTCTGAAACACCAACCTGATGTAGCGGGCGGACGTGAAGTTCAGGAGAGTTGGCGAGGGGTCATCTGCACTGGGTCTACCATTGATCAGAGAAGTGTGTATCTGTAGAGATAAACGCCAAGATATGACAACAGAATTCGACTGCATGCTGTGAAGATTAAATGTTTTGTGAGTTTCTCACAGCAGTAAACAGAAGAAGTAAAAATTCAAACGACATAACGATGGGCAGGTAATCCAATTACTTTTTTCAGGTAATGAGTAAAGTAAGGGATTACTATTGCAAAAAAGTAATTAGATTACTGTTATTTTCCCGTAAGCACTCTGTGTTACTGTTTAAAAGGGTCAAAGTACTGACCTTACTTTGAGTTTGATTCCATAAAAAGTGACAAAAACATTACTATCAGCTGTACACTGCGTGTGAAGAAAAACCCCTAAGCTTCTGAGCAAGTACCTAGCATGCTGCCACGCGAATGTGAAATTCACAGAGAAACCCCCAGATCCCCCCCACTGACATGACCGCTGCGGCACCGGGCAAACCTCCACCCGCCCCACTCCTGCTAAACAGGTGAAAATAGATTTAAGAGCGACAGGACTCAGTCCTGAGTCTTTGATTTTTTTTAATTTCTGCTGTGTTTTACTTGCATCTATTTGAAAGAGTGAGCGTAAACACAAAGCACTATTTTATTTTATGTGCTGATATGCAGTAAATAGGTTTAAATCTTAAACAAATTTCTTCAAGTCAAAGACTGTTGCATATAATGTATCATGTTTTTAAAAAGTAACTATCTAAGTAACTAAGTAACTAATTACTTTTGAAAATAAGTAGTCAGTAAAGTAACGGGGTTAATTTATTGGACAAGTAATCAGTAATTAGTTACTAATTCCTTTTTCAAGTAACTTGACCAACACTGATGAGCATCGACAGCTTCTAGGATAAATTGCTATTTGTTCTTTAACAACAGAAACATATCAAATTTAATTAAAAGAATGCTGATTTTCACTGGATTCAACAAGAATGTCAGGGTAGAAAATTGTTTTATTTGGTAATAATAAAAACTGATTTCAAATTCAGACCAGGAGACAGTGGCTACAGCAAAGCACAGCAGTGATTCAAACATAAAACCTGCTATCACCCTTTGACCACAACAGACTGAGAGTCCTGAACTAAAAAGTGAAGCATCACAGAAGTGACAAAAATGTGGACAAAAAATGTTTTGGCATTTTTTTTAGGTCATTTGAATGAATTCTGAAAGGGTTTAAAATGGGGACAAATGTAGCCACATCAGAGCGCATTTGAGTCACTCAACTTAATCTCTTGACTATGTTTGTGTTCTTGGTGCCTTTCTGGGCTAATGAATTATCTGTTATTTAGCACTAGTTAGTAATAATTATCAGATACCTGTTTTGTAATCAAGCTTAGTAGATAACTTAGCACACCACTTTATCTTCCAAATATACTTCCCTCTGACAAAAAAACCCAGCATGGCAAAAGGAAAAAGAGACCTCAAGATGCAGAGGGAAAAGC